CTCATTCTTTTCAGAGATTATTGGACACTGACTCTGAGTTCCCATTCGGGGCTGGGGGGGCAGGTGGTTAGAACACAACAGTCATCCACTGGTCCGAGTCAGGGCTTATGGAGTCAAGAGACTGAATTTTATCCTGAATCTATCTACAATGGGTCCAGTGGATCTGCAAATACATCCGATGGTTATTTCTTAGTTTATGAATGCACATTTGAAATAGCCATGCTCAGCAACTGGCAGATCTACCACATTTGCTCCCTGACCAGTGCAGTAAGGGCTGTTTATGGTAGGAAAGGCCAACTAGAAGTCACTGTATCTGTCAATACTGTATCCCTGAGGAAATCACAGAGATGACTACCCAGCAAAGATTCGAAGGATGTGTGTATGTATGGGAAGTGAGGGTGATTTCTAGTACATCCTCATTTAACTTGCTTGTTTGGCCTGTGCAGAAGGTATACAGGTCTTAGAGAATGATAGTTGATTATCAAAATTTAATCATTACTCCCAGAGTTTTTTAAAAAGCTAGATAAATCATAAGAAACTGTAGAACATTAGAAAAACCAAGATCTTAAAAGCAGCCATAAAGAAAAGACATTACCTGCAAAGGAAGACAAGAAGAATTAGAAGCTAGGAAATTTATTGCTTGATACTTCTGGGATGGGGGAAAGGTGTAGTTCTGATTAAAGAAATGGAAGCTGCAGCATAATGTGAGATAATGGATAAAATGCTCTTCTACCAGTGATTTTAAGCACAGAAATGTAGCTATCGGGATAATTTGCTTGCCTTGCCTTGAGAGATACAGTGCTACAGGGGCCTCCAGTGTCACATGTATCAATCTTACTTTAAATAGCCAAAAAAATGGACTCTGGCTGGTAAAAGCAGAAAAAGACTTTATTGAAGTGTTGGCCTCACAGATCCGCTAAGAAGCTTCCCCCAAAAGGGGGACAAAGTCTGAGCATCCAAAAGCTCTTTAAGTCCTACCTCAAAACCAAGAGTGTTGATGTTAAGATGCCACCACTGCCACCAGAATGTGTTCTTTCCTTCCTGCCCTGCTATTGATTAATTCCATGCAGAAGCATCTGATTAACCAATCCTTGGTCACATGGCTACAAGGGGCAGGGATTCTGGTAAAGCAAACATCTGGTCTTTTATATGGTGGGCAGAAAACTAATGAGTGGTTGTTAGGAGTGCGGAGTGTGACTATAAAGGGAGAGCATGAGGGAGTTTTTTGGGGTGATGGAACTATTCTGTATTCTAATTGTGGTGATGGTTACAGGAATATATACTTGTGATAAAATTCATAGAAGTGTACACCAAAAAGAAGTTAATTTACTGTATGATAATTAAAAAAAAAACAAAAATAAAACATAACTATGGCCTCACAACCAGTTACAGAAATAAGGGCTGTAGTAGCTACCCATAGTTTCTCCTTTTTCTTTTAGGTACATAATTATATATAATAATTTATTTCCCTACTTTTCCTCTACTGTCTTATATAAGGTGATTTGATGGTAATTAACGTTTTTTAGTGCACGTTACAGGATATAAAGATGGGACTGAGATTGAATAGGAGGAGCGGACATCACCCATCGATGGATCCAAGTAACCAATAGAAACTTGGATCTTCCCTTAGGAGAGAAGATTAGTGCATTTTTGTTTGTATGAGGGAGATTTATGTTATGATGGGCAGCAGCATGCTGTTGATGCTATTAGCTATGTAGAAGTATGGGAAGAAGGGTGTGTTGCATGGTAAAAGAGGTGGATAACATAGATAGTTTGTGGTGGACAGACTCTATGGTGCGCCCCCTATGATCCCTGCCTTCTGATGTTCGTGGCGTCTAATTCTCTCCCCTTGAGAGTGGGTAGGACCTGTGACTTGCCTTTAACCAACAGAATATGGCAAAGGGGATAAGATGCCACCACTGTAAGATTATGCTACATTATATAAGACATTGTCTTGCTAGCAGACTTGCTCTACAGACTCTCCTTGCTGGACTGATGAAGTGGCCATTTTGCAGAAGCCCACATGGCAAGGAACTGTGGGCAGCCTGAAGAAGCTGAGGGCAGCTGCTAGAAACTGAGTGAAGCCTCTAGGAGCTGAGGGCAGCCTCCAGTCGACTACCAGCAAGAAGCTGGGGCCTCCAGACCTACAACCATAAGGAAATGAATTCTGCCAACAGCCTGAGTGAGCTTGGAAGTGGATTCTTCCCCAGTTGAGCCTCTACATGAGAACCAGCTTGGCTGACACCTTGGTTGCAGGCTTATGAGATCCTAAGCAGAGAACCCAGCTAAGCTGAGCCTAGAGTCCTGACCCACTGAAATGGTGAGATAATAAATATACGTTGTGATAATTTGTTACACAGCAATAGCGTTCAATGTCCATTCCACATTTCCCAGGTTCCCTTGCAACTAGGATTCTGGATGTATTATAGGCTAATCTGATGCACACTCGTGAGACTTGAATGACAGAAGGGAGTTGGAGGCTATGCTTCTGCCATTTCTGCTGGGAAACATGGTTGTGAAGATGTTTGGTTGTTCTAGCGCAATTTAGTCACTAGCTCGTGGGTACTGAAAGGCGTGGCATCTATTTTGCTGGTGTAAATCATAGCAGGTAGAGCATGGTTCAGGAGGTGGCAGCTGTAGTGTTGGTTTTTTATTATGGCAGTGGGAAGTAGCAGTTTCCTAATCGTAGAAGAATTAGCAATTCCCTTAGTGGCTTCGTTCTGTGGTGTAGCTTTGGAAGTTGTTCTTGAAAGCTCAATTTAGAGTCAGTCCTCTTGATAATTCTGTAAGCCACTTAATGTCTGGTAATAATATTTTTCCTGCCTAAACTAATTAGAGTGAATTCTGTTCTCTGCAACTGAACCTTAACTAATATAAGAGGGAAGTCCTTAAGTGATAACTGAGTTAAGTGTAAATAAAAATGCATCAAAATAAATAATAGTACTATCTTTAAGTAAACCATTTTTCATGTTTATTATAATATTTATTTTTATAAAGACAAGTAAAGCCACCTTATCACATATTTAATTTAATGTATAAGGTATAATGCATTGGTTCAGTTTGACACAACTAGGTAAGATTTTTTAATATTAAGAACAACCCGTTTGCTTAACAAGTTAGCAACTAGAAAACTATGTGTTCAGCTTATTTCTCTTGCAGACTCAGAAAATAAATGTTTGTCTTTTTAACTTACATTTATAATCGTTTTGCAACTCAAAAATCTCTTTAAGTATTCAATTTTAATTAATCTAGGCTAAAATACAATACTAAGTAATCTTCAATATTGACTTTAAAATTATATCAAATATTAATAACATATGTTCTTAAGAAAGTATCTTTTTTGTAAGTACAGCTGACAAAATACTCAACAAGGTATGTGCAATAGTGTCTTTATAAGCTTAGAGCCTTGTGTCTTTCTAGAGCTATTGTAGTATAACTTACTAATCATTGCATAATAACAGAGGTGTGATAGTTTAACATATAAACGATTAACTAAACTTTAAAATTTGGACACGCTTTGAGCAAATCATTTCTGAGAAAAGGCATAGATGCTTATTTACCAACTATCTCTTTAAGTGGTAATTTCCTTGAAAAGACAAGATTGACCAAATCATTTTAAAGACACTACTAGTAAGTGTTTGGCCAAGGCCAATTTATGAAATTTTCAAAGGGTCAACCTAAAAATTCTTGAGTTTCTCTGAAAATAACATACTCTATGGTGATGAAGCCTTCTGTGTTAGGCCTTGTTCACAGTGGATTCTTGCCAAAGGCTGACTATACCAATTTCTTTCCAGAAAGGGAGACTTCTTGGGTCACTGTAAAGGATGTCTACTCTTTCACTGTTTCACATCTGAAAAGTCAAAGGGCTTAAAACCAAAGACTTTTATGAAGAAAGAAGCCACAATGGGTGATTTCTCCCCACATTTTCCTAAATCAATTGATTAATAAATTGCTCTTGTCAGAAAGAGCAAAGAAGATTGAACAGATGTGATTTGCTTGTTTTTTTTTCTTTAAAGTGCTAACAAAGCCCATTATTTCTAAATGGACTTTCATTGTATTGACTGAAATATAAGCAGCATAAAGTATATAGAAATTACACATCTAAATTAAATAGTCAAAACCTTTTAGATAGATGCCAGCGATTCTATACATCACCTTAACAATCATTACACACAAGTACACTTCATGAACTTGCCAGACATACAACAATTTGGTCTATCTAATGTAAGTTAAAACATAACTGATGAAAATCCAAAATCTAAAGCTAGAACCAAAGCAGTCGCAAGCTACTCTGAGTCAAGTGCGACAACAGCAGTGCTCAGAAGAATTTCAAGTTATTTCTCAGTCTAATGAGAGACAATACAGTTAGTTAATTGAACTATTTCTTAATCCTTCTGAAAAGGTTTGCTTTATCCAGCTTAAATCCAAGTCCAATATTGTTTTCCCTTTTATCGGCCTAGAGTTTTGAGTTTCTGATTTGTTTTTATCAGTATCAGAGTTAGAAGTGAGTCAGTAGCTTCTGAACCGCTCAGGTAGGGTGAATGCAGAAGTTACTAAAAAATCATTTATTATTAGAAGATTGAATGAGATTAACTTTAAAAAGTTAATATCATTTCAGTTAGATAACTTGAAAATGAGGCCCTCATATGGTAATCTTCTAGATAATTAAGGCTATATAGAGCTAAGATCCTGGCTTTCTAAACCTTTCTAATAAGACTGAGACAATTCAGAAAGTAAGGTTTATCGATTCATATCAGCATCACTAATGCTCAAACATAACAACACATTTTCAAAATCATCATATGTAAATAGCAGCACAAACTAGTAATCTCCCTACTAAAAGTGACATGGTGGTGCCCTCTGGTGGTAACATTTAGCATACTCCCCTAATATTGCATATCTTGTGAAATATAAAAAGCACATTTGTATTGGAGAATATCAAAATTATAGAGATTACCACAAAGGAATGAACTATTGTGCTTCCAAATATCTTTTTTTAACCTTCAAACACATGGGTAACAAGATAAATCCCTGATCCCTACTCCCAGGAATCAAGTGGATAGCTACAGGAATCTTGGTAAACTTGTCTATGATAGGCAATTCCTGTTAAGATATTTACATCTTGGTTCTAGAACTTAAATGAGAGGTTTTTGCATTTTCTAGTTTGGCTTTTACATCTATGGGTTTCTCAAAAAATCTCACCAATGCTGGTTCGTTCAACAAAGAGGCAAGAATCTGTTCGAATGCAAATGACCACTGAGGTTCTTCCCTGAGAGAGGAGGGATCTTTCTCCACGCAGCTCTCTGTTTTCTCCTCACTGGATTCTCCAGAAGCACAGACTGTACCAGAGAATCCTTTGGCTGATGATGTAGGGCTATGTAGTTTCCTTCCAACTTCTTCCATCCTGAGCAAAAGGCTGGTTACAACAGCAATGGCTTGATATAATGACTCTTCTTCAGGGTCCCCGTGAAATAAGTTATATAGGGTCTTTGAAAACTGAATAAATTGTGACTAGAAGACACAAGTTAGAAATATCACATTTGATAGTAGATTTAGCAAATATAAAGAAAACTTAGAAGTGAACAGTATTCTATTTAGAATTTGTAGGGGGGCTGGCCTGGTGGCGGAAGCGGTTAAGTGTTCGCGCTCCACTGCAGCAGCCCGGGGTTCGCCGGTTCGGATCCCGGGCGCGCACCGACGCACCGCTTGTTACGCCATGCTGTGGCGGCGTCCCATATAAAGTAGAGGAAGACGGGCATGGATGTTAGCCCAGGGCCAGTCTTCCTCAGCAAAAAGAGGAGTATTGGCAGATGTTAGCTCAGGGCGAATCTTCCTCACAAAAAAAAAAAAAAAAGAATTTGTAGCATATAACTTTCACCATAGAAGTTACAAGAACTGATGATTAATCCCCAAATAAATCTTGGTTCTAGAAAGATGGGTATGAACCATGGAAAAAAATTCCATTTAAGTCTTCTCATTTGTTGCCTAATAGCAGTACATTATATACATGTCTTATATATATACAATAATTCCTCGACAGTTTACCTGCCAGCATTCCTTCAATGTTAGGTGGTACTTTTAATTAGGCAAAGTCCCATATTTGCCTACATGTAAATCATTCATTCATTAACCAATCTTAGTGACAGGATTAAGAACGATTTTCCCTTGATCTCCCCAAAGGGCTAGAGTGGGCACTCGACTAGGATGACTTAAATTTAGGGAAGAATGTTTTGAGACCATATCTAATAGTACAAGGTAGCACTAAGGAGTCCATTTGGATATGTTTCTCTTTAAAGGCTGAGGTGGGACCCAAGAGGAGAAATAAACTAGTTTGTTTGCTAATTGCCCCTAGATAATCCATAAACATTCTTAGAAGATATTTGCCAATTAAAAAAAAAATCCAACACAAGAGTTCTATAAGTCAATTATCCGAAGTTTATCTGTAAATAAAAAGCAAATTCAAAGGATATACTTCATAAAAATATATTGTACCAAACTTGTAAGTTTTGTTTTTCTTTCTTCCTTAGTCTGCAGTACTGTTATAAAACCTTTAGAATAAATATATCATATTGATTCATTTAAAAAAGTGCTTATTCAACTAACTATCAAATTACCTAGTCCATTGAGAAATGCTAAGTTATTTGATGGTTCTCAGTTTGGTAAACCTCTGGGAATCCTCAGTATCTACACCAACAGATTTCAATTAAATATAATATACACTGGCTGAATAGTGTGTAAGAAAGAGATGGATTTAGAATTGTGTCAATAGTAGTCATTAGCATTGTTTGAGCAGGTTCAAATACAAGATGATTAGGAACCAGGCTGTGACCTATTTTAGTAACTTCTTATTCCTAGTTAGTACCTAGCACTAGGGTGTGTCATCCTAGTAGGCACTAAAAAAAAGTATACTGAACTGAATAAATGAACATTTCCAATAAAGCTGGAAATAGAAAACACTGAAGCATATGTTATACATACATATTTTATGTGTGTATATCTTTATATGTTATACATACATCTTTTCTATAGGTACAAATGTTGTCATAGCAGAGGAACTATACTGAAACACCAGATGCATTTAAGGGTTTTAGAAAATCATTTAAATTTTATTAATTAATAATTAATTTTATCAATTTAAAAAATTTTCTCCCACTCTTCTTGCTTATCTGAAACTTACAGAGAAGATACATACATTATTTAACTATTTTTGTAATAACGTTAGCTATTTTAGAGTTGGATACATCCACATTCATTAAAAAAAGAATCTAGAATTTTTTCTTTGAAAATACTGTACCTGATTCATTCTTGGTAAATCCTTAATGCTTTCTTCTTTTTTGAAAAGCTCATCTTGCCACTGACTTAGATATGCTTGAATATCAACTTTTCCTTTGTCTGAATGAGGGGAACAAAACCATTTCTTAACAAACAGCCCACTATAGTTTCCCAAATCTCAAAAAGAATAGTTATGATTGAAAAATATTTCATTGAGATATAAGATTCCACCTTTTTTAATCCAGGAAATGATCTGAATTTACCTTTTATTTCACTCACTGACTCTCAGAATACATTCTCCATTTCCATTAAACTAAAACTTTTACTTTGGGAAGGTTGGGAACTAGGGAAGACGTGAAGAGAGAGGGAGAAGGATGCATTTTAGATTAAACAGTACACTGTGACTTGATGATGTAAATTTCACGTAGACGTTCTCATGCATACTTTACTTAGTTTAAAATAGCTTCTATATGATGTCCTCAATACGCAGATACCAAAGTGGCCTATGGTGGTTCTTTTTCAAAAATTCAAAACACTACTTATTAATTCATTCCTTTGAAGAATTCAATCAAGGTGATATTAATGTGACTTTATTAATAATTATTTAAGATCCCTTGGAAAACTAGGTGGATATACTGAAAAACTTGGGGAAGCTGTCATATTTAAATAGAGCTTCAGCAATTAATCATTTTTCTAACTAAATGTTACTCAAAAACATAAAAAGAACGATGGACTTTTGGAGAACAATTTGACAGCCTCTATCAAAATATTAAATGTGTACATTTTTGTGACCCAGCATTCTCATACCTCTATGAATTTATCCTATCCTAAAGAAATATGTGTAAAAGTATTCTAAAACATAAGTATAAAAATGTTTTTTGCAGCATAGTTTGCACTATAAATAATTGGAAACAACCTAAAAGTCTATCAATATTGTGCTAGTTATTGAAGTAAATTATGGTACAACCAAACAAGGGAATACTCTGCACCCATTAAAAAGAATTAAGATAGACTCAAATGTACTGATGTGAAAAGATGTCCATGATATATCGCAAAATCAAAAAAGCAAATTGTAGAACAGTATTCATGGAATGTGTCTTTTTTTACAAAGAGAGATGTCTATATATGTTTGTGTATACATAGAAACAGGTCTGGAAAGGATGTAGACCAAAATATTTTCACATTTACTTCAGGGTGAGGTTGGGGGAGGGTATGAGGACGTCTGTACTATTTAAATTTCTCTTACAAGGATTATCTATTACTTTTGTAATTAAAAATAAATACTTTCAAAATAAAAAAAATTAAATGAATATAGATCATTTACTATTATATTTTCTATAACTTCTGAGACTTAAGTATCAAGAGAAGAAAGAATAAATTGTTAAACTAACACAAAGAAATTAAAAAAGCTCTCAGGACAAATCAATAGCCTTTAAAGGAAATCCACTTTTCCCCTTTGTGTAGTTAACCCTATTCACCAAAACAATAACTTAATAAACTAAATGATATTCCTAGATCATAGTACCTTTTTCAGGGCTGTTTTTTACTGATTCTGCTTCCTTCTCATTTACAGGCTTGGAAACTAGGGGAAAAGAGAGCAATTGCATTTTGTAAAATATTTAACAAATACCTTTTGAAAATAAAATAATATTTTATATAAAGACTTACAGCACATGTTATTTTCTTCAATTCAGCAAACCAATTTTGGCTGACCTGACCTCCTATCATTAGAAGACAAAGTATTCAAGAACTTTTATGGAAAAAAGAACACTAGGGGAAAATTCACATGAAAAAAATCATAGAAGGAAGTATACCAAATATTAAGAATTTGTTTCTGGGTAGTATTTTCTTCTTTGTGACTTTTCCTCAAATTAAATTGTATTACTTTTATTATTAAGAAAAAGAAAACATACTGGAAGTCAGAAGACTGAGCTACTAGTCCTGATTGTGGCAATAACTTGTGAAATCTTGCACAAGTCACTTCTCCTTTCTGGGCCTCAGTGCCCTTATCTATGTAATTAGGAGACTTGACCAGATGATTTGTAATGTCTCTTCAAACTTAACGTTCAAACACTAACATATAACAATCATAAACATACGTTCGTTAATCAGGACTTACCCCTCTATAACACATTCATATTCATGAAAAAGAAGCAAAGGACACAAAAATGAGCTCGTGAGACTTCCAACTTATGTCTTGGACACAGACTCATCCCTGTCTCCTACACCTACAGTGAATTATAATAAGTATTCACTGTTTGAATAACAGCTATGACCTTCAATCATCAAAGATTCTATTGTCTTCATTGTATTTTAACAAGGCATGAAAATGGTCTGATACATTTTAGAATTTCTGCAACATCAGTAGAAACAAAAAACATTTTTTATAATTCTCCAGTAAATCAAAAATTCCATAAGTCAAAACCCAAAATGTAGTTTAGTTAATCAGTCAAATATTTATGGAGTATTTACCATACATTTAGCATGGTGCTAAATGCTATAGTAGCACAAAAGAAGTATAAAGTATAGTTAATCCAAATTTCACTAGTGGTAGCTGGGCAAAGAATATTTAAGCCAAGAAGATCTCTATTAGTGACTAATCATCAAAACAGATATATTTTTAACAGATAATTACCATGGAGTTGACTGAAATAAAGTAATTCTTCCTCGGAAAGTTCATCTGCCTTTGAAGGGTCCTTAGATTTCACTTCAGTATAAGCTGAAAACAGACAACCCAAATCACAGTTACTAACAATGAGGGGCAGAGACGGGTCCTATAATGGGTCAAGTAAATCTGGGGGCAGAGAGTTAAACAAAGGGTCTCTGTAGAAGAAAGACATATGTGCAGGAATGTGGAAGTGGTACTACTCTACTATACAGCAAGTAACAAGAAGTACTTGATCACTATGAGTTCTATTATTTCTCCTCCTCGCTTTTTAATAGTTTTCCAAGAGCCACTACAAGTTGAAATAAGAAAATCTGGCATTTGGAAAGCTCCAAAAATGTGACTTCAGTCATTTAAAAACATCTTCAATAATAAGGAAAACATGACGTTGAGTGCTCTAACAGATACACAGTATATTTTATATTTTTGGTCCCTCTACTCAAAGCATATTCATTCCATGGCAATATTAGACATTCTAATGGCAATTTGCCTTGACAATGTCAAGTCCTTCATAATTAAATTATTAGGTGGTTTGTCTTTCATTTTTAATGCTATGTTTGTGATTTGAGTGTGTGAAGGGTTAAAGATGGCTTTTAGATTTTTAGGCTGGTAAGGAATGGTTCCTGGCTATCCTGGGAAGGCTCTAAAAGAGATCCCAGGTGTAGCTTTAGACAAATTAAGAGGTGCTGTTTGTTTTTGTGAATTACCCTATCTAAGTTAAAAGGTACTTTTGCGATGTTCCTTTGGTTTAAAGCCTAAGACTGTTTTCCCAAAACACGGATCAGGCCTGGGAAAGGCAGCTTCTTAAGGTCAGAGGGAAACACTTAAGTAAACTGGAATGGTGTAGTAACACTGAGGCAGTATGGTAGAAGAGAAAAAACCTGAGCTTTGGAGTCAGACCTCAGTTTGAATCCCAGCTATGTAATTTATTAGCTATGTGATCTTTGGCAAATAATTTAATCTTTCTGACCCTTAGTTTCCATATCATCAAAATTGGAAGGATAATACCACCTTCCAGGGATATTGTGAGGATAAAAGAATGCATGTAAAGTAAATGCCTTGATAGAGCAAGTGCTCAGTAAATGGTAATATCCCTGCTGCCCGGTCTCATTTTTCTGAATAATTTTGTAGTATTTCACAAGTTTGGCAGTTTGTCTAAAGTTAAGTTCTACTCTCTAATGACAACAACAACAAAAATTCAACATTATACCAATATTCAAATGATAGGTAGTTCTTATACACAAACTATTTATCATTAAAGTGATTGACCACTAACAGGAAGGGAACTTGTGAACCCATCTGTTACACAGATTCTCTTCCATAGATTTCACTGTAACTAAATATCGGCAAAAATACTGGAAATATGATCCATGGGCCACAATGAAGCAATGACCTTATGTCATATTGAAAATTATGTTATTTGTTAAAATGGAATTATACTTGTAATTATACTTATTAAAATGGAATAAACTCCCGTATATCATTAAAGACTGTTAAGCTCTTACCTGGAGGAATATGTAGCTTAAAAAGCAGCTTAAGCTTCTCAGTAAAACTTCCGTTGTACATTACGTCTGTTCAAAAAATTCAATTGCAAATAATCACATATCAAAAGAATATTCAATCAATTCCAGCAATACAGATTAATTAAAATACAGACATTAGCCAGGGATTAAGATTCAGAAACCTTCTGTTACTTAAGCTAACAGTTAAACCACCCAGTTAGCCAGATTCTCTCCTTCACGTGTATAAGCAAAATACCCTTTATCAGAGGGATAAAATGCTCTCCTGCTGATCTCCCTTCCCTCAACCTCAGAGTTTTTCTTTTGAATGAGGCCTTATGCCTCAGTTAAGGAGAGAACTCCTCTTTAAGGGGAAATGTCTGATAAGAAAGCATGCTGGGGTGTCTGGAAAAGCAAAGGAACAATAAAACTGGTGGACTATCTACAGGTACAACGTGTTTGTTGGATATTTCTCTACCACTTTTCTAGGCTATGTGGTTGGATTTTTACTGAGGGGGACATCCTCCTGAAGCATCCCTGTGCCTGAATGTGGGAAAATCGAAACATTTTCTTCCTTCATGTTAACCATTAAAACATCCATATCTAACAGCTCGCTTTTCTGAGAGGGTTGGGCATAATGAGACCAATATACTTAGATTTAACAACTAACAGAAAAAGGTCCAGTTATTGCTAACGCTGGAGACAATATAACTCAAGCTGATAAAATCAGACTAAATTGGCAATAATAGGCAGTAGTTAGTATTTCTAGGGGTACCTTTATATTTTTTTAGAAAAGAAAATTATTGGATATCGTCCTACCAATTGCAGAGGAGAATTCTTTGAAGTTTACAAGGCAGTCAGAGTTTTCATCCAACAATCTGAATGTCCATAAAGCTAGTGAGTCTCTGTTTGCAGAATGAGCCCATGGACTCAACAAGTGATACAACACTCTGAACTGCTGGCAGTCAATCTGATACTGTTCCAAATATGGCAGACTGGGGTCATGGTGCTTCAATACTGGGCAACTCAAACACCAATAATAAGAAAAAAAAAGCTCTTTCTATTAAAAAAAAATAAAGAAGGAAAGTCATTAAATCAGACAAAGTAATTTCATAAGATTTTTTTTCTTTTAAACATGTCTACTAAAATAATTAAAGATAAAATATTTGAGTGGCTATGGTAAAATTCTGCTAAAAGAGTATTATTTTTCATTTAAAGAAAAACAACAGGGCCAGCCCCATGGCTTAGCGGTTAAGTGCGTGCGCTTCACTACTGGTGGCCCGGGTTCAGATCCCAGGCGTGCACCGACGCACTGCTTCTCCGGCCATGCTGAGGCCACGTCCCACATACAGCAACTAGAAGGATGTGCAACTATGACATACAACTATCTACTGGGGCTTTGAGGAAAAAAAAGGAGGAGGATTGGCAATAGATGTTAGCTCAGAGCCAGTCTTCCTCAGCAAAAAGAGAAGGATTAGCATGGATGTTAGCTCAGGGCTGATCTTCCTCACCGAAAAAAACCACAAAAAACAAAAAACAACAGTACCTTAAAGATGACATAAAGTTCATCCAATTCATGAAGGCTCAATTTGACATCTTGCGATACAACACGCAACTTTAAAAAACAAGTAAAAGCAATTTAGAATTTAACACTTGAGTATAGAAATTCTCTTTGAAACCATTTAGAAATCTCCCTCCACCAAAATAAAATATTTTTCTTCTAACTTTTTAAAGGAATAAAGAAAGGTAAATGCACTGATTTTGCCCTTAAAAAGGTTGTACATAGACTACAGTTCAATTCTACTCTGATATATACTTTGACCTTCATCTCTTCATACCCAGAAATCGCTGCCAAAGGACAGCCACTTAATGTCTATAAATATAAGCAACAGTATTCTAAGACACATTCCATATATTCTCTCTTGCCACACAAGCAATTTGTTAAGTCATCATGTGGGGTTGTCATTAAACACTTCAAAGGCATTGGGAGACGTACATTCCCCCTCTGTGGCAAAAAACGTAATCCAAGAAGTAATAAGCTTAGAAAATATGTAAGTTTATCTTGTTCCATGAAGAATAAGCACTAATGGCACAATAATTTTGGTATTTAAGAAACTTAAAAAGGAAGGGTAAAGATACAGGCTAGAATTAATGAAAGAGAGCAAATTAAAAAAAAAAAGTAGACTCAATAAATAAAACCAAGGAGTTGGTTAATTGAAAAAGTAAGTAAAGTAGACAAATATCTGGCAAGTGTGATAAAAGAAAGCACAAATAAATGTCATTGAGAAGGAAAAGGATAATATAAACATAGATATAGAGGCCATTTAAAGTGTTCAGCACATAGAAGGTAGCATTAAATTCTTGTTGAATAAACTCAACAAGCTTTATATCAATATATCTGAAAGACTGGATGAAATGGATAATTCTCTAGGAAAATATAAATGATGAAAATGAACTCAGGAAGAGCAAGCTCTGAATAGACAGAACTGAAAAGGTAATCCAAGATCTGCCTCCCATCAAAAGGCAGCAGACGCAGATGGTTTTACAGGCTCATTTCTTCAAACTTTCAGGTAATAGATAATTCCTATGTGATCTAAACTATTCCAGAGCATAGAAAAATATGACTTATTCCAAAATTCATTCTATACATGAGCACAATGCTGATAGGAAAACTAAAGTTAGCAAACACAAAAAAAAGAAGAATGTTAAGCCAATGTCACTTTAACATAGATATAAAGAACCTAGCTAAACTATTTAGCAAAATTATCAAAGCAGAATATTAAAAGAATAATACAACATGACCAAATAGGATTCATTTCAAGAATCCAACAGAAGTCTAATATTAGGAATTATTTAATATAATTTATTATAATAAAGTAGAAAAATGTATCATCTCAAGATATAGAAAAGTCATTTGATCAAAGTTAACACTGAGTATTGATTTTTTAAAAATGTCCCAAACCTCTTAACTTAGAAATTGAATGAAATTCTTTTATTTGATAAAAGGCATCCTTCAGAAATCAACAGCAAACATCATACTTAACAATAAAATACTGGAGGCATTCCTATTAGATTCAGGAATAAGAAAGGAAGCCTGTGTCCACTGCTACTATTTAGTACCTCTCTGAAGATCCTACCCAATACAATAACAAAAAAACTAAAAGAGGTATAAATATTAGGAAGGGTCAAAACTCTAAGACTAGAAATGATATGCCCGTCTACTCAGAAAATTCAAGAAATTCAACCGAAAAAATATTAGAATTAATGAGAGTCAGTACCATGGCTACTTAAAAAAGTAACATGTGCAAATCAATAGCTTTTACATACACAGCAATAAACAAATTAGAAAATGTAAAGGAAAAAAGATCTCATTCATATTAGCACAACACCATAAAATACATTTGTTGTCATTAGTGCCATCGAGTCAATATATAGGTATAGATAAACCCAACAAGAAATATATATAACCTACATGATGAAAACTACAAATGCTTACTAAAAGACATTTAAAAAGACATCATTAAAGTGGATATTAAAAAGGAATTTTAAAAGCCTTAACAGATTTCAAAATGGACTATAAAGCCACAATAATTAAAACAGTGTGGTGGTGTTGAAGAAAAAAAAGACTCCAGAAATAAACCCATGTGTATATATATAAGTATTTAGCATATGAAAAAGGCAGAGTAGAGTATAGTAAGGATAGACTATTCAATAAATGGTATTCAAACAATGGAGTGCTTCAGTTGGAAAAAAATACCATTAGAGTCCTATCTTACACTATACACAAAATACATACTTAAGGTGTATTAAAGATCTAAATGTTAAAAAAAACCAAAGCAATGCCAGTACTATAAGCCAATATGAGAATGTTTATAAATGATATAATTTTGCATAGGGAAGGCCTTGCTAAGTTTGACATGAAACCCATACAACACGTAAGAAAAAGAGACTTGACTACATAAAAATTTGAAATTTACATACTATGAAATATACCGTAAAGAAAATGAAAGAAACAACAAGATTGGGGGGATATATTAGCCACAAATATAACTGACAAAGAATTAATACCACTAATATAAAAAGAGCTCCTACAAATTAATAATAAAAAGACAACCTGATCGAAAAATGGGCAAAGGCTTCCAATAGGCAATTAAGAAAAGAAATGAAAAATGCTAATAAACATATGTGATTACTGAAATGAAAAAGTGAGATCTGATTTTTTATCTATCAAATTGACCCAAATTAAAGATTTTTAATATAGTCACGAGTCGCTTAACAATGGGGACATGTTCTGAGAAATGCATGGTTAGGCAATTTCGTTGTTGTGAGAACATTGTAGAGTGTACTTACACAAACCTAGATGGTACAGCCTACACACACCTAGGCTATATGGTACTAATCTTATTGGACCACTATCGTATATGTGATCCATCATTGACCAAAATGTCATTATGTGGATCATGACTGTATCTGATGTTAGTGGGAGTGTAGGGCATTCTTACACACTGTTGGTGGGATTATAATTTGGAACAAATGTTTTGGAGGATAATTTGGCAGGCCCTGTCAGTTTTTAAATGGGCACACTGTTTGACCCAGCTTCCACTTCCAGGAATCTACCTTATAGAAACACTCTTAAAAATGTGTAAAAATAGATATATAAGGATGTTTACATAAGGTATTACTTGAAAGAGCAAAAAAAGTAGGAGACATATTAAATGTATCAACAAGGCATATTAAATAAAGTATAGCATATCCATACTATAGTATATTATTCAGTATATTAAGAAAAGTGAGGTAGATCTTATGTACTTATATGCAATGACCATAATAGATTTCTGATCGAAGTTGCAGAACAAAGTGACTTGGTATGACCTCATTTAAAAAACTATATTATTCCCCCTCAATACACATACACATTTATGCGTACAGATACATAGAAAAAAGATCTGGAAGGATATATGCCAAATCATTTTAATATTGGTTACTCCTGGGGTAGGGGAACTTTGCCTTTTTATATTTCTATAATGTTTAAAATATTTACAATGAGCATGCATTACTTCAGTATTTTTTTAAAGTTAATATATAAAAACTAAAACAAGGGGGCTCTCTGCTACTTATATCACGGTAACATCACTGAATTATTTAATTTGAATCTAAACCTGGAATCTTCAGAAATGTTGATCTTCCCAGATTTGTATCTCTGAGGACTTGGCCTTTAAGCAAGTAGGTTTACAATAACAATACGTGCTCAGGATGGCTTAAACAGTACAGAAGGATATATATAGCAAAGTAAAACTCCCCCTCTTCCGACCAGCAATCTATTAATCCCACTCACTAGAGGCAACCAATATTAACAGCTTCTTATGTAGCCATCCAAATATTAAAAAGGAGAGTATTTAAAACACACTGCTTTACACCTTTTTCACTTTATCTTAGGCATCCAAGGATAATTATATATATTAGCAGCACTGACTACTATGTAGGTCAGCTGTTCTCATTGATGAAGCACATCACAAATATGTTATGCTTAAATGCCTACATTATAGCATTCAATTTGAAGGTCAAATAACACAAAACATATTGCAGAAACTAACATAAATCAACCAGAAGAAAATAACATTTCTTCTCCAAAAATTTATGGTAAGCTAAGCTGTGGCAAGAATCTAGCTCAAAAGTTTAGTTATTTTCATTTTCTTCACAGGAAGTGATAATTTTTTAAAGGAAGTTGAAGAAAAAATATTACTCCAATTAGTTTTCCCCCATTGGGCGCATACTCACCACATTCTGCTTTGTCGTTTCTTCTAGGGTCTGTATCACATACAACCTATTTCGACAGCGCATGCTGTGTATATCTTCATAGCGAATATTACCATATTTCTGCAAGAAATATGATTTCAGTGGATACTCATTCATAATAAACATCCACTTCTCTTACAATTGAATTTCATCAGACTCAATTCTCAGAGGCCTTGGTTCTATTTCTAGTTATTTTCCTAAGTTGTTCAGTGATTATGCAAATTTTCACCTCCCATGTTTCAGTTTTTCTATATATTCACTGGAGAGAATTCCATCTACTATATGTCTAGACCAAGTACAAGAACATTGGTAAAATTCTTAGACTCTAAGAAGAGAATAATTCTCACCTTTTTATATAGTGATAGATATTTAAAAGTGGTCATTATTTGTGAAAGCAAGTGAATATCGTTTCATTTAATGAAAAGCAAACTGAACAGAGGAGGCTATGTAACCTAGGAACAGTTCACAGAACTGATTTTTAAAGTGAAGTCGGATTTTAAATTATATCTTTACTTGTATTATTACCTTACTCTTAATATACCACTAGAAATATAACTATAGTATTAATTATTTTAAATATGCTATGTAATTATATTTATGGTATAAAAAAACTTACCTCATTTGACTCTCTAATCAAATCTGTAATATCCACTCTAACATGACTGCTTTTTTCATCACTCACATTTGAACCCTGCTGAACACTTGAAGGCAATGGGCTATCCTTATTAGTGACATTGTCAAAAAACCTATCCAAAAGTGATAGTAATACAAGAATTAGTGGAAATAAAATGCAGAGAAAATGACAGCTAATTTCTCCCTAGTTAGTCAGAGGTTAATTTCAACTGAGAGGACAAGGGACGGTCATACGAAGAAGTGAAATTTGAAGATGGTTGGGAATCAGGAGGACACGGGATGGGGGAATGGTATGGTGATAAAATTATTTCAGAGGCAGGAAAGAGAACATGAAGGAAGAAAATAGGCCCAGAGAGTACTCAGCAAATACCACATAGCCCAGTAAGGATGGAATATAGGGTATGTAGAAGCATGTAAGGAGAAATAAGAAAGGTACACTGAAGACCTAATATAGAGAGTTCTGAATGCCAGAGTGAGGTGTTTATATTTTATTCTGTATATAATGGGATTTGATGCACCATTACAACAGTTGCCCAATCAAATATTCATTCATTTAGCATATACATACATAGTGTGTATACACACAAACACACACACAAACCCACACGTGCTCCAACACAAAATAGCATTCACAGAAAATGCACTAGGAAAATAAAGCTCAGCCTACCTGATTGAAACCACTTGGAACTAGAACAATTTCCCCCACTGGATATTTAACATTATTATCAACTACCCTTTCCCCCTCAAATTACTTTTACACAGCAACACTTTATATTCAAACCGGGACTATGAAAGTCCCAGCATAGTGAATCAACAATATTAGTGTAAATGTGTATATAACCTAGTGGTTTACTTCAAAGTGATTTACTTTTGTTATATTCTATTTGAAAACAGAGGAGTGGACTTTAGGCCTAGCCTTTTCATTCAACTAGCTTTGTAACCTTGGGCAAATTGTTTAAAGTTTCTAGGGCTCAGTTTCCTCATCTGTAAAGCAAGGGGATTGAACAACATAATCTCTAAGGGACTCTCCAGATTTAAATGTTATAGTTCTTACAGTACCTGTTTAAAGCTGTCACGGCTTCAGCATCATCTTTACATACCAGCAGTTTGTCTAAATTATAGTCAAGTATTGCCAATCCCAGTTGTAAAATGGCCTTTATTCCATCATAGAAGAAACAGTCCACCACATTCACTGCACTTTCAATAGGTAGCACACTAATAAAAAGTGTGAGGAACCATGAGAGAGAAACTGAGGAGAAGAATGTCATATCAGTCATGTGTTCTGTCAGCTGGGGAAGGTGATCCCTGATAAGTTCTTCAAAGACTGCCTGATCCACCAAGGCACCTGGGAACATAAAAAGAAGTTTAAAAATGAACACCTTTCAAAGGGACTTGTTTCCAATACCTTCCCACTTCTATTAGTATGTTGATATATCTCATTTCTCTTCCTTAAATTATGAACTTCTTCAGTGCCTTTTCTATATGTCACACATCTCTTTATCTGCTAGCAGAGTGTCATGCATCAAGAAGCACCTGAAAAACTCAATTCAAATTCATTTAACAGTTACTTCTTGAATCTTTATTATGTGAAGAAACCTGTAATAGGTGGTATAAGAGATACACCAATTAATTAAATGGTCTCGTCTTCAAAGAGCTTAATATCTAGTAGAACGTAAGATAAATACAAAAATAATGGTAACAAAAGACAATACAATCAATGACTTAGCTATGATACTAAAGGCTTGTGAGGGCACAAAGGAGAGATCACCTATGGTTTTAAGGTAGGGGATCACAGATCTACAAATATTTGATGGCTAAATAAAATATTATACAATTAATAAACTAAGAACTTGATTCTTCTTTCAAACCTTGTAAATATCTACACCCTTTCATATAAATGTGAAGATTTTAAGCTGATTAAAATCTCTCTCTCATCAAGAAACTACTAAAAATTTTCCAGTAGTTCTGGATGCTTCAGATCACCATTGTTTTAGCAATACAGAGATAATAAACTTAAAATTTCTATTTTATTAAGAAATAGACCAGCTACTTTATTTAAAAAAAAGCAACATATTAAATAATCTTTCCAATCATATATTCAGTACAAAAAGCTCTTCTCTTGAGCATGTCAGTGAATGTGACATTTTGATATTGCTTGCATTTTGTGTATTTCAAACCTAATTGCTCAGTTCTTCCATTTGATAGGTAATTGGATAGACAAGAGACATATAAATTGTTTAGAAAACAAATATGTGTTTGTATATGTGTATATGTGTTTTTTTTTTTTTACCAATGATTCGACGATTAAAATAATCAGGCAGCATTCGTTCACATACAGCAACCAGAAGCCAAAAAGCTTCTTCCTCTTTTGCATACAGAAGCAACACTGAAGTCAAAATGTTCATTGCCTAAAATTCATAAAAAAAAATATTGCTCAGGTAATAATCACATTTCTTCTTCAAATAGTAGTTTTCAGCAATAACAACTATGAGAGTAATCATAATGCAAACATGCGTACTCTGAGCCAGTCCAAAGCAAAACAAAGTGAAGTCAGGCTATCATTTGCTAATCAGTTATTTTATACAGTAAATTCAAGGAAAATAAAGCAGTAATATCATGAATATAGAACATAATAAGTAAAACTTCTCTAATTTAGACTAATTTCAACAAAAAATCTTTATCGCAAATCTGGAAAAAAACATAATTTTCAAGGATATACTAAAATTAGAGAAACAAACTTCATCTGTATTTTCAACTATCTACAGGAGAACATCCCTAAGATGTCAATCATCCTCAATTGTGTCCAAAACTAAACATCTTATTTCCCCTATTAAATAGGATTCTCTTCTTTGCTACCCTAATTTTGATCATGCTAGAAACCCTTTGTCTGCCACAAATTGCCACATCCAATTCGTCTTCATATCCTAGAGTTTCTTCTTATAAAATGTCTTTTAGATTTGCTTTCTCCTCTCTATTCCCACTACCACCCTAACTTTCCCTGTCTTCTAATCTATCTTGCATATAAATGTCAGATTACTAATAATAATCATTATTATTATTTTTTTTGGTGAGGAAGATTAGCCCTGAGGTAACATCCGTTGCCAATCCTCCTCTTTTGCTGAGGAAGATTGGCCCTGGGCTAACATCTGTGCCCATCATTCTCTACTTTATATGGAACGCTGCCACAGCATGGCTTGACAAGTGGTGCACAGGTCCGCGACCAGGATCCAAACCTGTGAACCCCAGGCCACCGAAGTGGAGAGTGTGAATTTAACCACTACGCCACCAGGCCGGCCCCCAGATCATTTTTATATACCATTTGGCCACAGCCTTTATTATAAAGGTAACAAATACAGAATTTGGAAAGAATGGAGGAGTGTAAAGAAAATTAAATCTCCTGTATCCTACCTACCCAGAGACCACCACTGTTAACAAGTTGATGTATTTTTTTGTGTTTTTCTTCCTTCCCTTTTCTCCTTCTAAAATTTGGACCAAACTGTACATTAAAGTTTGATTTTTTTCACTTAGCATTATATTATACATTTTCAATGCCATTAAATATTTCTTCTAAAACAGTATTTTTTGTGACTGTAAAATAATCTAATAAATTGACAATACTATAAATTATTTAACCATTATACTGTTGTTGGACATTTAGGTTGATTCCAATTTTTCCACTATTATATATAATACCGCAATGAATATTTTTGTATATAAATCTTCATCCAAGTGTTTTACCATTTTCTCGGGAAAGATACATAGAAATGAAATTATTTGGTCAAAAATATTATTTTTAAATGACTTAATATTATTGCCAAATTGTATTTAAGAAAGACTGTACCAATTTATATTTCTGACCAATAGTATCTGAATGTTTATTTCATTGCTCCTTTGTCAATACTAAGAATTGCAATAATTATAATTGTCCTTGCAGATTTGATAGTGAAAATGGCATCCGATGGTTTTAATTTGAATTTCTTTGAAGTGGAACTTTCTTTTTTAGGCTTTATTATCAATCTGTATTTTTTGTTTTGTGACTAATCTTTTCATATCCATTGCTCATTTTTATATTTTAATACTTTTCTTATAGATTTGTATATTAAGTATGTCAGTTCCTTGCTAGATCTGGCACAATATTTGACCTCAAGCTCAGTTTTTACTCCATCACTTTCCTGTTCAAGAAGCCATAATGGGAGGGGGTGTCAGTGAAAATGGCAGAGTAAGGCCCTCTGGAAATGCTCTCCTCTATAAAAGCAACAAGAACACTGGCAAAAATTGTCAGAATCAATTTTTCAGAACTCTGAAAATTAACCAAAAGCTTACAGCAACTCAGGAAGCATTTATTTAATAAAATGGCTGAATCTCAGTTAAAAAATACGAGCTCTGTGGCATTTTAAATTGCCCTATTCCCATCCCCACTCCTCGGCTTCACAGTTGCCTTAAAAACCAATACTCAGCAATCATGGTTGGAAACCAGCACCTAGTAGCTACCAGAGGGAACAAAATGGGGTTGGAGCTCCTTCACAGCCCCATTTTCAGAAAATTGTCATTATTTGACCTGTCTGTTGGTTCCCTGGAAGACCCCACTTACAAGGCTGTCGTTATTTGACCTGATACAGAGCTCACCCAAGGCAAAGAGCCTTCTCCCCAGAGTGTTCCTTGAAAATACTCAGAGGCAGTTGTTGAACATGTGGTTGCCTGAGGCTGTGGATAACAGCTGGGCCAAACAATAGGCTAATAAAGGTTTAAAATGAAAATCTGGGGAATGAGATATCCATAGGGGAGTTTGAAAAGCTCTGACATATTCCTAGGAATCTAGAAGGCCATGTGTATGATATAGCTTTATGCATGCCCAGAGCTGTATGTATGCTCAGGAAACAACAGAAAATGCCCTAAACTCTCACCTCTGGGTAATCTTGAGGCTCGGTCCAAGAAGGAAGTGACAGAGAATAGAAAAAAATAGGGAAAAAGTCAACAAAACCAAAAGTGGGTTCTTTGAAAAGATTAAAAAAAAGATTAAAAAAAACTGAAACAGCTTTAGGTAATCTAACCAAAAAGATAAAAGAGAGACAGAGAGAAAGGACTCAAATTATTAAAATCAGGAAATAGAGAACATTACTACCAACCTTAACAGAAATAAAAAGGATTATAGGGGAATATGATGAACAACTGTATGCTAACAAATTAGATAACCTAGATAAAATGGACAAATTCCGGACAAAAAAAAAAAAAACTACCAAGACCAACTCAAGAAGAAATAGAAAAATCTGAATAGACCTATAACAAGAGATTGAATTAGTAATGAAAAAACTTCTCACAAAGAAAACTCTAGGAACAGATGACTTCACTGGCAAATTCCACCAAATATCAAAGAAGTAACACCAATCCTTCACAAACTCTTCAAAAAACAGGAGAGGAGGAAACACTACCCAGCTCATTCTATGAGGCTCTGATACCAAAACCAGATAAAGACATCACAAGAAAACTATGTATCAATATATTTTATGAATATAAATGCAAAAATCCTAAACAAAATACTAGCAAACTGAATCTAGTAATATATAAAAAAGATTATACACCAAGACCCAGTGAGATTTATACTGAGAATACAAGAGTGGTTCCACACATGAAAAGTAATCAACATAATACACGATATTAATAAAAGAAAAAAATCACATGATTATCTCAATAGACACAGAAAAATCCTTTGACAAAATCCAACACCTTGATTTTTTTTTGGGGGGGAAGGAAGCCAAGATGGCGGCGAAGGCAGACTCTGAACTCACCTCCTCCTGCGGACACAGCCAATTTACAACTACTCGTGGAAAAATTATCCCTGAGAGAGAAGTGAAAACTGGATAAGAGGAACTCCTGCAACAATGGACAATCCTAACTGAGTTAGAAGAGGCAGAAACTCCCTTCTGGAGAGGAAAAACGCCGCCTTCACAAGCCACCAGGTTCACGGCCACCCGGGAGCAGCCCACAGGTATGCAGCCTCCCTGGAGGAGCGGGGCCCTGAGCCGGGGAGGGCCC